GCAGAATGGCGTGGAAGCTTTCAGCTTTGTTCGTCACAAGGTTTGACTGGCCACCACGCTCCCTTTTATATCCTGTGGGGTGTGGTCCAGTGACTCAGCCTAATCTCGGGCACGCCTTTTCTTCTGTTGCGCGCGCTTATCTCTGCGACGCTGGCGTGGATCCAGCCAAGACTAATTACCCTCATCACTGTCCATCTGTGGCTGCGTGGACGTGCTTGGCCCTGGCCCTATCTCTTGCCCTTCGGCGGACACCGAAGGCATTGCCAGAGAGGAGGGTCTTGGAGAGGGAGGCTTTGCTCACTCCTCTCCTTCACTCTCGGAGTCCTCTCCTGCCGATGACACAGGCTCAGGTAACGGAGCCACAACACATAGCTATGCAAATAGAGCTGATCTGTTTTTTTGACTTGACTCCTGTAGCTTACCTACTTGAGGCAAGCTGTGATATTTGATAGCATACACGATAGATTATGAGACCTGATTTACACACGTTGCTGGGAAAATTTACTTAGTGGGAATTCTGGGCAGCCAGTCTACGATTTAATCAAAGCATATTGTTGTGCTTTACAATGCAGCATTAACATTTCATCTGCTTTTTGGGAGCTAGATTGATGTGCCAACACTACTCAGATAACTGCTAGTGGTATAGTTGAAATGATGCCCTAGCCATGCAGGAATGCTATTTCTCATGCGTTTACCTCCATTCCTAGCATCCCTTGTTAAAAGACAGGGGAAATGACAGATTTAAAATTTACAAATCAACAAATATTGAATGTGTGTTACAGTATTGATATTATATATTAGGCAATTTATTGTTGATGGATGTGGGCTTGACTCCCATTCAGGTTGATTAGCTTTGCTAAGTTTTAATAATCCTTTTAAAATACTCATATTTTATAAGCTTTTGTTTGCAGATAAAGTCTTATTTAATACATATAATACAATTTAAAAATAAGTGATGAACTAAAGGCAAAAGAAATAGGGATTTTAAAAAATAGATTCCTCAGATATGTTTGCTTCCCCCCCTATACATTGCATCTATACACTCTGTACTCTTTGACTTTTATGAATTAGTTCTCAGAAATAATACAAATTTCGCTAACAGTACGTGGAGTGCCACTCCTGTGTTAAGATAAAGAAAGAGCAAAACCATCTGTTTCAGATCCATAATACCTATCTGCATTTAATATCTGCATTGTGTTAGAACTGATCTTTCTTTACATTGAAGAAACAAAGTATCAATATAAAACATAACAAAATTACAATACAGTATTCAAAAGAAAATCTAAACCAGGCCAAAACCAACAGCAAATGAAAAAAACAATAGAAAGCCAATCTAGGATATTCTAAAAATAAACACAATCATTATTTAAAACTTAAAAAAAAAACTTACTTTCACCATGCGCATTTCCAAACATATTTTCTCAAAAGGATTGTGTTGTTTGGTTTGTGTTTATCTATCTATCTATCTATCTATCTATCTATCTATCTATCTATCTATCACATTCTTTGAACCATCAGATAAACTGGAACTTTTGATAAATATAAAGAACAGCAGTTACAATCTGATTTATACAGACTGTATGCTGAAATACAGATCACAACAGTGATTACAGTTGAAGCTGACTGCATTCAGACAAGTAGCACACAGGACAACGGCTTCTAGAGCTTTTGGCCAGACTGTTGAAGGCCTTGTCAGATATATAGGGAAGATATTTATGGAGACCTTGGTATGTAATACTTTTTATTAAGTGAAATGGGCTTTGTTTTAAATTACTCTATAGCTCTGATTAGCATTATGGCTCTGGATGATATTGCACATAGACAAAAAAATTGAATTGTTTTGAACCATTATTTTGTATTATTAGATTTTTATCCCACACTTGTCTGTTTACTTAGCTAGCTAGCTAAAGGTGGCAAACGTTCCTAATTCTTCCACTTCCTATTCTCCCCACAACAATTCAGGAAGTGGATTGGGTTGAAAAAAAGAGTGGCTCACCCAAAGCTCCCTGGTCAGCTTTCATGCATAAGGGAAACCTAGAACACATAAGTCTCCTGACTTTTAGGCTATTCCCTTAACTACTACATCAAACTGGATTCATTGAAGTAAATATAAGCCCATCCAATTTAAAATTTAAAAGTAAAGCATATACATTGAAAAGATTGAAATATATTAAAACATATAAACTAATAGCCATGATACTTGATTGGTATTATAAAATGGCAATTGCCATGATTAATCAAAATGTTTTGGTAGGGGTCTGAATTTGAACAAGCTGGATAACTATTTATCTTGCAGAAGTGAGAAACTGCTCTCTTTCACTCTCCCCCTCTCTCTCCCTCCCTCCTCCGTCTCTCTCTGTGTGTCCAACTCCCTCCCCCCTTGAATTCTACTGACCCTTATCTAATGCCTAGCAGGTGCTAACTATCAGTTCAGAATATTCCCGTGCACAGGTGTGAGTAGCATTATTACATCAGTTTAATTGTGGACCTGATCTTTCCCATCTGACAAATCCTTAGTTCTCCTATGTCTTTTTAGTGGGGGGCAAGGGGAGGGGAACCACAGCTGTATCCACAGTTTAGCTCTGCAAGAACTGCTATCCCATCCCATCCATGTTGGAAGCACCAAGGTGTTTCTGGGGTGAAAGGATTAGCTGGTTACATCCCCATTGGCCAGGGGATGCTCGGTTGGGGGCTCATTTCATATCCCCATTTATATGCTCACTGAAGTGGTACCTATTTATCTACTTGAGTTTGCATGCTTTCGAAGTGCTAGATGGGCAGGAGCTGGAGAGAATGACGGGAGCTCACTCTGTCACACAGCAGCACTTGGATCTCAAATACAGGCTCACACGTTGTCAACCCAGCATTTTAATCACATGACCCCATGCTCCTTTTAAGAACTGCTATGAGCTGGTGTCAGTGTTGAATCTCACAGGCTTGAGAAATCACCAGGCAGAAATGTTAGATACATACCCATTAAATAGAGCAGGGAAACTCACATGACAAAGACAGTCTGAATGTCACCAGTAAATTAAGAGGAAAACAATGAAAGGAAAACATTAAGATTAATGGCAATCAAGTTTGAGATATTTAGTGAATCTACACAATTTTCAGACTAAATTCCTTGACAAGATGGCACTGATCTTTACTATAGTCCTTTCTTCAAAATGAAATTTGAGGATTTTGCATGAAAATGCTAGTAAAATAAATGAATTGAATACAGCCTTTTCAGTTTCGGAAAGTTACATTAAGAAGTGTTCCATTAGTGCAACTTCATTGTGATAAATTGAATAACAGGATACCCTGATTGTGTGTTAATGGATATAGCTCAAGTTAGAATCTAAATTAGATTAAATACTGTATATACAGCAAGATATACTTTCTAAATTCACAATATATTTTATTGTCTCTGCAGGAATGTTAGCTTTCACTTGCTGCAAACAATATTGATATTGATTCTATCTTCCACAGGAGTTGAGATTATATCTTCCAATTCTCAACCAAGATGCGGAGGAGCAGAGTGGAACCATCCCATCATTTAGGATGCTGAATGGGGTGTGGGATTAGATCTCAATAAATAAATGCCAGTACAGCTTGCCAGAAATAAACCACTGCAAGCTACAAAGACATCGTGCACACATGGTGATATCATCACACAAATGCCACCAAGGATACATTTTAGTATCTGATACAAATACGTATGACATTTGCATGATTATGTCAACGTTGGTTTATTTATTTTATAGGGCTTTTAAAGGCCACTGCAAAAGCCAATTCCAAGATGCCTACACCTTCCCAAATCTGTAAATCGGAATTAAAAACGGAGAAATATTCACATACATTATTTAAGTTTTGTCATTTAATCCCCTTGGCGGACATCTACGGTTGCATAACACATTTAGCTCTTTGCCCATTTACAGATACGGCCCAGCCTTACCCCTTTTCTTGCTTCTTTTTTTTTTTTTACTTCGAGTTTTTGGAAGCAGAGAAATCCGGCGAAGTCAGAGGCAGAGGCAACCCTGGCAGAGTTCACACCGGGCATTTTGTAACCAGCTTTCAGCGAACCGTGGTTTACTCAAATAACCCCCAAGGCAATCATTCTCTCAATCTCAAGAGTATTTCTCAATCTCAGAGCCTTTGAACTGCGTGGAGGTCAACTCAGTCCAAATCAGGGGTCCTTGGCAACTTTACGACTTGTGGACTTCAACTCCCAGAATTCCTCAGCCAGCATGCGCTGGCTGAGGAATTCTGGGAGTTGAAGTCCACAAGTCGTAAAGTTCCCAAGGTTGGAGATCCCCTGGTCCAAATGATCTTCAGCTGGGGAATTCTGGGAGTTGAAGTCCACCCAGTTCTGAGATTGAGAGACGCTGCTCTAAGATCCCGGTCTCTCCCGAACCCTAAACTCAGCGCACGGGCTAGACTGGCAAAAGCAGGCGAAGATGAAACGCCGCCATATAATAGCTGGAGGCAACCACTACATAGCCGGAAAGGGCCCGTTGCCAAAACAAGGGAAGGTTCGGAGTAGAGAGCATTCCACACAGCACGCTCAACAATCGCAGAGGAATCTCACCGAAGCGGCTCCTTCGCCAAAAAGGCACTGAGAACAACCTCTCTTCCCCCCACCCCACACACAACACGACTCCTCCCCCCCCCTCCGGCTCGGCATCCCCCGCTCTTCCCGCCCTCCGCTGCTCCAGGACCCAATCGCTTTCCTCTTGCGACACCCACCCTCCCTCTTCTCACGTTGGGCCGTTCTGCTGTCAGTCGCTTCGCCTCCTGTAAAGCCGGCGGCTTTCTGTTGTCCCGCCTTCTATGGTAATACGGAGAGCTCGCGTTTCTCCATTGGCTGCGCGCTCCTGTCCGTCGTCCTCCTCTTTAACGGTTGTTCCAACCGCTTCCTTTCCCCCCTCCCCCCACCCTTGTTAATCCCCTCCCCTATTCCCGAGTTCTGGCGCTGCTTCTGGCCCCGCCTCCGCTCCAGACTCGGAACTCTTCTTGTCCTTGTTGCTCGAGCGTTTCCAGCAGGTTGCGCGCTGGTTCTGGAAGCGGGAGCTTTCGCCCTGCTCGCGGTTAAGCCGCGCTGCGCCGCGCCGCCCCCCCCCCTCCGCCCCCCCCAGAGCTCCAGGAAAGAGGAAGCGGCGTCTACCCGAGCAGGAAGAAAGCAGCGCGACGGGATGTTGGCCCGAGAGTCCGAGGGAGCTCCCGATGGGGGCTGAAGGGCTGCACCGCCCGGCCTCTCCGGGGCTTCTCCCCCGGCTCTTTGTTACGCTCCGGCTCTTCTTACCCTGCCAGGGCGACCTCTGAGACAGCTCCCCGCGCAGTCGACTCCGCGCGCGCCGCTGCTAAAAAGTTTGCTGCTCGCGGGCGGGCGGCGAAGGCGAGGCGGGTGCAACCGCGGGGCGGAGTAGAAACTTTCCTCGGGATTCTTGTTTGCTGCAGCTCGGCGGCTCCGTCCTGAGGAGCCTGCCTGGTATCTCCCGACCCGTCTTTTGAAAACTTCGACAGGGTCGGATTTGGAGCCTCCCTTTGCGGACAAGCCTCGGATTAACCAGCCTCCCGTCGAATCGGAAGCCCGTCCCTTCGGAGGCTCCTGCCGCCTCCCCCCGAGGAAATCCCTCCCCAAGTTTGGACCCCTTGTAGGAGCTTTTCGGGCACCGGCTCCAAAGCGTCTCTCCTTCCCTTCTTCCCCCCCACACTCCTGGGGGCCGGGGGAGATGTTCCCTTAAGGGGCGACCCAGCTCGACCCGCCGCTGCTTGGCTTTCAGTTTCCGGCGTGGAGTTTATGCTTCGAGGAAAAAACGGGCCCGCCTGTGTCTCCTGCGAGCCCCGCCATGTCGACGGCGATCACCGCCGCGGAAAAAGTGGATGGTTTCACCCGGAGGTCGGTGCGCAAGGCTCAGAAGCAGAAGCGGTCGCAGGGCTCGTCGCAGTTCCGCAGCCAGAGCAGCCAAGTGGAGCTTTTCCCGCTGCCCCAGCTCAAAGGTACATTTCCCCGGCTCCACGAGGCGTCGCGGCGCGCTTGGCCTGGGGCTACAGGTGCCGTGGTGGTGGGGAGGGTGGCTTTCCCGGGCCTTTCTCGAGTGGGCGTCCGCTTCCTGGCAGAGCCCCGTAGCCTCCTTTTGGCGCCTTCCCTGCCTTCCCTTCTTTTTCGCGTTCACGCTTGGAGAGAAGCAACTTCTCCACGCTCTTTCCCACCTTTTAATCTCCTTTCCTGTCAAGGAAAAAAAAAAGGGAGGGGGGGAGGAGAAACAGCCTTGCCTTTCAACATTTTGTCGGACGGCGCTCGCCTAAACATTTCATTATTTTTCTCTTGTGTCGAGAACCTTTGCACTTGATAGGATTAAGCGCTCGTTTGGCCCCGTCGAAAGTACCCGCGTTTTCACATTTCTTGGGTCGGTTATACAGGTAGATGCTGATAACAATTAGTTATTCGGGAGGGTTGGGGATAAAAGAGGAACTGGATAGATTTGGGCCTTATATAGAGAGCCAAGCCTGCAAAGTTTGTTCAGAGTTCAAGCTGTTCTTTTTTCTCCATTCTGTTTAAGAAATCGCGTGCTTACTGTTTTCTTCCTGATCTTGCTGGGCAGCTGCTTCTGTTTGCTTTAAAAAAAAAAATCTAAAAAGCTTATTTGTCTTTAAAACTGGAGCACTATGCTAAATTTATTACCAGAATTCATGTTCAAATAATCTGTAAATTTCCTACAAGCTCTTATAATTGTTTATTATATATTTCTGCATATTTCTTTATTCTTCCTTCATGGTTTATATAGCTGGTGCATTGTAAGACAAAACATAGTTTTATACACTTGTAGGCCCAAATGTGAGATTTTAGTTCTAAATACCAACACATATTTTAATTGAAGTAATTTTAATAAAAGAAAGAAATGTGAATTGGATATTATGTACTAAAATAGATGCCATGTACTAATAGCATATTTTATACTGTACAGGTAGTCCTCAACTTACAACAGTTCATTCAAAGTTACAATGCCACTGAAAAAAGTTGTTTAAGACCATTTTTCACACTTACAACCATTGCAGCATCCTCATGGTTATGTGATCAAAATTCAGATGTTTGGCAACAGACTCATATTTATGACAGTTGCAGTGTCCCAGGGTCATGTGATCACCTTTTGCAACCTTTTGACAAGCAAAGTCAATGGGGAAGCCAGATTCATTTAACAACTGTGTAACAATGATGGCAAGAAAGTTGTTCATAAAATGAAGAAACACACATTTAAGAACTGTCTTACTTAGCAACATAAATGTTGGGCTCAGTTTTGGTTGTAAATCAAGGACTACCTGTAGTTCAGACTGAGCACTTAAATATTGAAATATCTCAAGTGCAAGCTTCACTCTTTAGACTTTAATATATAAAACTAATACAGATTCTGTTGCATTTCATGAATTGAAACATTGTTTTGAATAGTTTTATTGCTGTATTGTAATAGGTTATTTGCCATTATAATAACTTACATTTACTATTATGCATTTTATCTGAAGGCATATATAGAATCAAGGGGTCCTTGGTGTTCTCTGAGCTTAGTTGTTTACTTGCAGAGGTTTCATTACCCAAACTAGGTAACATCATCACTGCCAGTATCTCCATTATTGATACATAGAATCATAATGTACGCATATACTGGCAGTTTGCGGGTTGTGCTAGATGATCTGCAGAATTGGCACAGTACTAAAACTGGAGTAGTTTTGATTTGGTAATCACTGTAAGAAGTTAGTAGGACATCAGTTTAAGTTTCATCAGCACTGGTGGTTTTACAAAATAGATTGTGTTTCCTAACGGGTAGTTGGAAACTTCCATTTATTGTAATATATTGTTTTTCCCTCCATGCATTAAGAAAGTGGCAATGGTAAAACATTTAAAATGTAGAGTTCATATTTTTGTAGTGTGGGGAAAGAGGGTGCCTTCAGGGTCAGTGTTGACTCCTGTCTGGATAAGTCACTGCAGTTTTCTTGATTTGAGAAGAGGTTTGTCATTGCTTCCTTCCTAGGGCTAATTGAGAGAGTGAGTACCCAAGGTCACCCAGTTGGCTTTGTGCCTAGGGGAGGACTAGAACTCATGGCCTTCTGATTTCTAGCTTGGTGCCTTTAACCATTACATCAAACTGGCTCTCCATTACTCTCTTTGTAGATTTTATTGTAATTATTACAGAATGTAACTCTTATTTAAATCCTGATAACATTATTGTGGTACATTTACAGTTTAATGTTATGTAATCTATTGAGATGCATGCACTTAAATAACTTTTTTGTTGTGTATTTTGGGAGCTGACTATCTTTTATATATTGGCTACTAATCAAAAAAGGAAACAAAAAATGATTGAAGAGTAGGCATAGAACACATGTAGCAATTGTACCCCACTGTAATTTGCTCACCTACCAGTAGATTAAACTAAATTAATATTTTTGATTGATTAAATATCTTTGGATTTATTCTGTTGGAAAGTTCCTAGTATTTTCCCAGTTTATATGATAGTTTACAATAACATATTTTTTTAATAACATTAACATGTCAACTATCAACATCCTTTAATAAATATCTAAAGTTAGGAAAGATGGTAGCATTGCAGACTGGCATGCTACGTTGGACAGTCATTCTGCAGGACAGATATTATTCATACAAGTGGCATAATTAAATCTCCACTTCAGTTTTCTCATTCTTCCTTTTCCTGAAGTCCCTTCAGTTCATAGAAATCCTTAGAAGGGATACTTATATCATTCTCAGTAAGCTTCTTTGAAAGGAGAAAGATGGTAGTGATGTTGATACAGTTTCTGCAAAATTGTTTCTTTCTAAAATTGTTTCTACAGACCTCAAAAGAGAGAGGTTAATGGTTTAAAACAGTAGCTGGAGATCACACCAAACCAACATTTGTTTTACCTGAGTATGTTCTCTCTATGTTGAGGAATCTATCTAGAACTTTTAGTTAACATATGGAATAATGGTACCATCGTTTTTGTCATTCGGATGCTTGTAAATTAGTTCTAATTGTTCGTTGCATATAATATGTTGTAAAGAAGTATCTTGTAAACATTAACTTGGTTTCTATTTAAAAAATAGAGCTGAAATGTAATATATGTTCTATTATAAATATTGATGATTTTATTGAATTGCATCTTTATAATGGTTTATAAATCATGCTAAAAGATAATAATTGGGATTGATAAAATATCAAGTTCTTCTCAAAGAATATTTTTTTCCATAGATGCAGGAAAGACATGCAGCTGAGCTTTTTTAACCTGTAGTTTCCTGTAACAAGTAACTTATAGTTTAAATATGGAAATAAATCTTGTTTGTGGCAAGAAGTCAGAATTTATGATGTATCTATTACATGTACCCCACCAGTCTTAGATAAGGTCTTCTACAAATATTTCATATTGTCTTTTTGCAGTCCTGAGAAAATAACAAAAATAAGGAAGTTTATGAAGTCTGCAGTTAGGTTTGATTTCCCCTACCTGGTGCTTTTCAGGTGTGTTGGAACTATAGTTCCAAAATTTTAAAGTTAGACTCTGCTGGCTAAGAGTAATTAGTAGTCCCAGCTTGATGTAGATTGACCTATGGAACAAGGTAAAGTATCAATTTATTATGTTTATACATAAATAGTGCATTGGCACAGGGTTTGGTAAAAATGGAGGAGATAGAATGGGGGTGCATGTTATGGATTTATTATAATGGAGGTGAGTGAGTTTCTAAATATGGCTTTGTAACCTTGAGTTTTGCTTGCATTATAAGTTGCTTTGTGGAAACATGGAACTGTTGTCAAGGCATATCCAGTACACCAAGTACAACTGGAATATCTGTGGAGATCTAAAAGTAGTGGCTCTGCTGCTTGGAATACAGCTCAGATATACCAAGTACTGTTGTTACATATGTAAATGGGATAGCCATGAAGAGAGTAGCATTACATTAAAAAAAAATGGCCATTCTGAAATAATTTGGTCCCAGGCCAGAAAATCATGGCACATAAACCACTTGATGATCTGACAGTTTTTGGGGGGTTTTTTGCCTCTGTTTCACATAAAACTCAGACTGATGAAAATTTTTATGAAAGCAATGAACAAGTGAAGGTTTTCATTATTTGAGACAGATGTTTCTAAGAATAACTGATGCCAAGATTAAGGAAGGCATTTTTGTTGGTCCGCAGATGAGATATGTCATCAATGACAAGTGCTTCGAAGATCTGTTAGTGGGGCCAGAAAAAATCACCTGGAAAGCATCCAAGGATGTCGTTGAGAATTTTCTTGGCAGAACATCAAACTACATGCAGCTATTTGACAAACCTTTTACAGCATGAAGGCCATGAAGTGCTACATGTCACTGAAGATTTATTTTCTGCATTCACACTGAAAATCTAGGTGCAGTCTATGACGAACATGGCTGTTCATGTTTCATCAGGATACTGTCACAAGAACAATAGTTTTATAGAAAAATAATGCAGGCATAAATATGGAATATGCATTTAGCTTGTATAATGGTAAAAAAAATAAGAGATTTTAAAATATGTAGGATGAATACTACTGTTTGTAGTAAAACATATTGTGCCATTCATCTTGACCAATTCTGCATTATATTATTGCTGTTTATTGGAAACCCATACTATACCATTTACTTGATTTGTGGTCATTTAGTGGTCATTCCTATATGTATTTATTTACAGTAGATTCATTTTATACCTCTGGTATGTAATCAGGACAGTGTAACTTGATGTAAGATGTGGCAATTCTTTTTGACAGAATGTTGTATACTAATTGAAATGATGACTAATGTTAGCCCTATCACAAATTTTATCTAGATGTTTGACTTGGCATATTTTCATGAAGTTACAGTAACAAAACAGTCAGAAAATCACTCCTTGCTTGTGATTTTGGCTAGCTGCCAAATGCCAGTTTTGTTTTCCTTAAGCATCTAAATCCATTTGAAGTAGATCAGTTGTTCTTGCCTTAATGAGAGCCTCCCTAAGGAAATG